ATTCCTGCAGACTTAAGTGCCATGCTCCTGAGCCTCTTTACACCCTCCCCAGAGAGAGGCAACAGCTTCTTTACTCTCATTGCCTTGTTTGCATAGTCTCTCCTGAGTGCCTGTAACCACAAAAAAAGCCCTCCAGCAGCACAAGAAAGATCAAGTGTGCTGTGAAGAAACCCAGGACCATGCTGCTTGGCCTGGTAGGTGCCAGGTAAGGTGGCTGAAGATGAGGCAGAGTAGTTGTGAAATAGCCCAGTGTTCCCACCCCACCTTTGCAGAGGCACAAGTGTCCAAACATCTGACAGGAGGATCTCAGCCCTGAACTGAGCAACATGGTGAGAAGGCCCACTGACAGGCCGTGGTCTGGCAAAGGGAGATACTGAGACATGATGTAGATGCTTCCTTAGCGTGTAGCAAGGGACATGGATGCAAAGGGGATTTGGATTCTGCAGAGTGATGCCAGTTCCCCCAAAACTCAATAGCTCCTCTGCGGCAGGGATCTGCTCAGGACTCCACCTACAACATAGCCATGTGAGATTTCCTCCTCACCCTTTCGCTTAACTATTCAGCAGATGAGACACTGGCTGGATCAGTCTTGTCACAGGACATATTTGCATTGGCATCTTCTCCCTCAGTGTGGGTGCTCCATCTGCCAAGTGACAGCGACATTCCAGGAGAGGTGTCCTCAGCCACTCCAGCTGAAGCTATTCCACTCTAACAGTTCCCCAGTGACCTAAAACTTTCCGGGCTAGGTAAAGTGAAACCACTTTTACAACCCAGCTTTCTCCAACACCACCCTGAGGACCTCTTAGCTGTTGAGACAAGGCAAGTCTGTGAAAAGTCTGCACACAACTGTGCTGCACTCCAGGAGCTGTGCCAAGCTCCTGCTTTCCTAGGGACAGGAGGACCTGCTGGGTCTGGAAACTCTCTGGCCACAGCCCAGCCATGGGAAGCCTCCTTGTCCCCTCAGGAAGCAAGGGATAGAGCTGCACAACACAGACTGGTCCCAGAAACTGGGGACACTGACCTGCCAGACAGCCCCTGGCAGATGGGCTGAGCCCAAGCACTGCCACATATGAGGATGAGCAAAGTGCTAACACTCTGGACCAAACTCAGATCCTCCCCTTCCCTGGCATCAGCAAGGTGGACCAGGGCAGGTACCCCTGTGTTTCCCCTCTGACAGCCCCAGGCTGTTCATGCCCTCCTGCAGCTGCCATGTGCAACAGCCCCAGTGAGTTTTGCATCCTCATCTGCTGAGCATCGCTGGAGTCACCCTGCCCTGACCTCCCTCCCCAGGCCATCACCAGCAACTCACCAAATCCAAACCAGATCTGCAATTTCACCATCGCTCCCAAGCTATTCTCCACCAAGCCCAACCACGGTGCAAGTACAGACCTTCCTCAGCAACAAGGCATCCCACTGCCGCAGCCCTCTTGCTGCTTCAGGCAGGGCCACCACAGGGCTTCCCCAGCCGGCTGTGGCACAGCTGAGCCCACAGACCATGCCGGGGCAGGGTAGTGGTGGTGAGGAAGGCTCTACAGAGGGATCTGGACAGGCTGGATCGATGGCTGGAGACCAACTGTATGAGGTTCAACAAGGCCAAGTGCTAGGTCCTGCACTTCGGTCAGAACAACCCCATGCAACGCTACAGGCTTGGGGACAAGTGGATGGAAAGCTGCCTGGCAGAAAAAGACCTGGGGGTGCTGGTTGACAGCCGGCTGAACATGAGCCGGCAGTGTGCCCAGGTGGCCAAGGTGGCCAACAGCATCCTGGCTTGTATCAGAAATAGCGTGGCCAGCAGGACTAGAGAAGTGATTGTCTCTTTGTACTCAGCGCTGGCGAGGCTGCACCTCGAATACTGTGTCCAGTTCTGGGCCCCTCACTACAAGAAGGACATTGAGCTACTGGAGCGTGTCCAGAGAGCAGCAGCAAAGCTGGTGAAGGGCCTGGAGAACAAGTCCTATGAGGAGCGGGTGAGGGAGCTGGGGTTGTTTAGCCTGGACAAAAGGAGTCTGAGGGGAGACCTTATCGCCCTCTACAACTACCTGAAAGGAGGTTGTAGCAAGGTGGGAGGCAGTCTCTTCTTCCTGGTAACTAGCGATAGGACAAGAGGAAATGGTCTCAAGTTGCGCCAGGGGAGGTTCAGGTTGGATATTAGGAAGAATTTCTTCACTGTTAGAGTAGTTAATCCCCAGGGAGGTGGTGGACTCACCATCCCTGGAGGTGTTCAAAAAACGTTTAGATGTGGTGCTTAGTGGTTTAGTGGGCATGGTGGCATTGGGTAGACGGCTGGACTT